ATGGCCAAGACCTTGCATTGTGGTGACCTCTCAGATTTTCTTCAGAACATATCTTTGTTATTTTCATATGTCTGGGGTCCTGAATGAAAAACTTCCCTCCACAAATGAGGCAGGAAGCTGCTCCGACCGTTAAAGTTTAACCAGGTCCGTTCCATTGTACTGGCATAAAGTATTCATTTGAAAGCCTGCAATGTTATTAGTAGTACTGTAGCACAGAGAACACCCATAGAATATGACATTGGTAACACAGCTGGCTGTTTGTGACACAGCTGACAGAAAGACTGGTTCTTTCCACAAGCCTGGTTACAGCATAAAGCAGCAGGATAGCATCAAATCTGTCAGGAAATGACAAAATAATCAATGTATCCATGTGGTGGGCCATGCACCTGATATAATGAGCACAATGACACAAAAACTCATGACCCAGATGCAGCTGTCATCTGACCTGTTGAAGATGTGGAGTGATGAAGACTTTTGAGCCTTCTCATCAGCTCTGCTGGCTTTAGAGTCACAGAAGATAAATACGAACGCAAAAGAATATCATGCTCTGAACAACATCTTGATGTACTAGATTTTAAAGCCGCGAGTGAAAAATCCTTCTGCCAGAGAAAGAAAACTTGACCCCAGGGCAGATAGAGCATTGTTTCAGCATTGCACGCATACACACCCACACTGGATTGAAACGATAGGCTATGAATCACAGTTTTATTGGTTTTCTGTTTAAGTTTGTTTGGGCTGATAAGCTATCTGTGCAGAATTACATTAACTTGTTAGTTGTGCTAAGCCGATAGACATGATGATACTCGTAATGTTTCTAGTAACATTTTCTCACACTAAACTTCTAAAATGTACTCTTTTTATCTTGGTAGATAAGTCCTTTCTGCATTTTATTATTGCCTTTGGGAAGAAAAATCATAAATGAGATCTTTTCCATCTTTGATCTCAATTGCTTTTTGCAGACAGCAATTAGATTAAATATAGAGATATTTATTGAGAGATAAAATGGAGATGTTTGCTTACTGTAAATCTCCTGCCCTTAGATTTATCCTCTGAAAAACATGCCGCGGTAGTATATTTCTCAACTATCAGATTTCAGAGGCAATGTCTCAAATTGTGTTCAGATGATATCAAAGTCTGCAGTCAAAAGTCTAAATATAAACTCATCAAAAACATATTTCATCAAATGCTACGAAGATCCAATGATTTGAGCTATGTATATTAATTTCATATAGAGATCTCTTTAATACAGACTTATTTTAGTATAAGTAAGTTACTAATAGTTTTAATTAATATTTTGAATTGTATTTATTTTTGTGTTTTCTGTTTTAGTAATTTTGTCATGTTTATTAGTTTTTTATATTCTGTCTAATATAGTTTTTTTTTATTTCAGTTTTAGCTATTTTAGTTCATCAAAAAAAAATAAAATGAAAACATTTACATATTTTGAAAAACACTAGTATTAGTTGCTTTGGCAACTAGCTGAAATAAATTAAGCACATATGTCATGATCCCAGCCTGTGTTCCCCTGTCTTGTGTGTTGTACTCTTATTTTGAAATCCAGTGTTTTCCCCAATGTTTCTGTGTTCACTCCTGTTTGCCTTTGGTTCTAGCACTGCCTCATTTGTTTATATGACAATTCATTAGCTCCACCCCCTTGTTACCTCCTTACCCTGTGTATATATACCCCCCTTGTTTTAGTGCATATTTGTCAGTCGTTGTGCTTTCTGTAGATGCTCTTGTGTAGCATCCTGTGTTTATTTTCTTCTTTTCTTTGTAACATTGAACCTCATCTCGCCTTTATCCAGCCAAGCATTATTACACACACACACACACACACACACACACTTTATTTTATATCAAGTAACTTTTATGATTTTCGTTTTTGTCAACTATAATAACCATGCTTTAATATCTCTCCAAGACAGCAATAATATTGAATGGAGATCAAATACTTTAGTCCCAGCTGTTTCTTTGATTTTTAAAACAGGTCCTTGAAATCTCACATGTGTCTTGTCTAGAGTTTCAGAAGAGATCCCAATGTAATTTACTTTAAGAAACATCTGAGACAAAGTTGATATTTAAATGAAACATAAGAAATCCTGAGCTATAAATGTTTCTTTGTCATTGCATGGGTGGCTGCGGTTTATTGACAGATTCCTAAAGGAAAGGTGTGATATTTAGTATGACAAAGCCATATTGAAGACCAAAACTGTGATACCAAGTGCTAAGAATTTGAAGGTGGCAATAGGTATCTAATACCAAAACAGATCAATTTCTCCAACGGATACCACATACTCTTGGGAACGTCTAAACCTCAGTCTACTTTTCGTTCCAGACAGTTTGTTTGTGTTTCATTGACTTGATTCTTCAGCCCCCGCAACCTACTTTGCACTGTGGTCATGCGCTTTTGCAGTGAAGATAAGCTTATCTTATCTGAGCAAAGTTTTATATGACTTGTGCTAATGGCACAGAAGAGTTACACACAAAACCACAAATCACGGCAAGCTTGGCTAGTCAACCTCTAAAGAGCACGAGACAATTTCACAACTGGTGGTTTCAAGGACACCTCAAGAATACTGGTGAAGTGAGACTCCTGACAGCAAAGCCAGATGCATTTAATTGCACTTTGTCACCAAACAAGCTTGGCTAGTCAACCTCTAAAGAGCACGAGACAATTTCACAACTGGTGGTTTCAAGGACACCTCAAGAATACTGGAGACTCCTGAGAGCAAAGCCAGATGCATTTAATTGCACTTTGTCACCAAACAAATCTAAGAAACCTAAACATGCATGCAACCACACAGCATATACACAACAAAAGAGCAATGCCTAAACTCCGATTCCATTTGGGAGGTTTTGCATAAACTGATTGCTGTACTAAATCAAGATTATAGATGGCAAAGTAATCCACTGACACAACAAACAGCTCTCGTGGATGAGCGCATGTGAGTAATTAAGACATTTTACTCTAATTGCGTAGATCTGTTGAACTTTCTCTGCCTCATCTGTTGTTAATGGAAGAAGTCTGAGAGGAGCCTTGGGTTTTATTCTTGTTTACGTGTGTGCTGAGCTACTAGGCTAATTAGGAAAAGTTCATTATCACCGGGGTTTGGGTTATTGTCATTTCCACAAGCACTGAAAATACACTGGTTCATTAACACCACAAAATAGCAGATTACTCTTTTTTTCTTGATAAATGAGATAGAATTGAGTTTAAATGTAACTGTAATCTCACACATATGGGTTATTGTCATTTCCACAAGCACTGAAAATACACTGGTTCATTAACACCACAAAATAGCAGATTACTCTTTTTTTTCTTGATAAATGAGATAGAATTGAGTTTAAATGTAACTGTAATCTTACACATAGCTCCTCTATTTCATAAGAGATTTCAGAATTGCCAAGATCAAGCATCAGAGATTTCAATTATGAAAAAGCATTTTATTTATTTATGTATTTATGTATGTATGTATTTTAATCAAATTGATCAAAGACACACATTTTCTTTTGGTTGTTTTGTGGATGCACTTCCGATAATCTGCCTCAATACCATTGCGTAAAAAAAAAAAAAAAAAGTTTTAAGTTGTTTAGTGTGTAATGAAGAATCAATTTTAAAATTTTAAATGTTTTGAAATAATTATATAATATTTAAGACATATTTAATGGAGTGACATCATAATTTCTAACAGTATTTCATTTCATTTCATTATATGTTTACACATATACTGGGGTGTTATTTCAATACTACAAATTTGTTAGAAGAAAAAAAAAATCAATCTTTTTTTTTCTTGATAAATGAGATAGAATTGAGTTTAAATGTAACTGTAATCTCACACATAGCTCCTCTATTTCATAAGAGATTTCAGAATTGCCAAGATCAAGCATCAGAGATTTCAATTATGAAAAAGCATTTTATTTATTTATGTATTTATGCATGTATGTATTTTAATCAAATTGATCAAAGACACACATTTTCTTTTGGTTGTTTTGTGGATCCACTTCCGATAATCTGCCTCAATACCATTGCGTAAAAAAAAAAAAAAAAAGTTTTAAATTGTTTAGTGTGTAATGAAGAATCAATTTTAAAATTTTAAATGTTTTGAAATAATTATATAATATTTAAGACATATTTAATGGAGTGACATCATAATTTCTAACAGTATTTCATTTCATTTCATTATATGTTTACACATATACTGGGGTGTTATTTCAATGCTACAAATTTGTTAGAAGAAAAAAAAAATCAATCTTCAGAAAAAATATGAAACATTTTTGCACTGAACTTTAAACCCAAAAAGTTTTGAATATAAATAGTTTTATTTATCTCATTTATCTCATTCTCATTAAGTCTTATTCAGAAGTCAAAGGTCTCAATATGAACTTTCAATATCGCTCAAAAGTTTGGAATAATTACATTTTTATAATGTTTTTGAAAAAACTCTCTTATGGTCACAATGTGAAACTAAAGACTGAAGTAATCGCCACTGATAATTCAGCTTTGTCATCACAGGAATAATTGAAAAATATATTAAAATAGAAAACAGTTTTTTTCTATTTAAATTGTAATAATATTTCACAATAATACCCTTTTACTGTATTTTTGAGCCAATAAATGCTGTATTCATGAGCAGAAGAGACTTCTTTTAAAAACAATAAAAATTCTTTATTATTTCAAACTTTTGACTGGTATCTTTTATATGTATTCGTCATACAATACTTTTTCTTAAACCGAAAACTATTAGTATATACTCATTTATTTTTCAAAATATTTTCACAATTTTAAACACAATATTTTGGAGGATGCACCCAGGTATGGTGTTCTCACAATGTCTTTACTTGAGGTCAGTTCTTTGGGCCAGTTCGACAATAAGCTTTTCAAATGTAATTACTAAAAAACACATAAAAATGTCAGTGTTACCTGGCTGACAGTGACCCGATTCTAATATGACACTAACAATGAAAATCTCAGTAAAAGCAAAAGAAATGCAATACTTCACCTTGTCTGAGAGAAGTGCCATGTTCCAGGCACTAGAATCACCAACAGAAATACAAGCAAACAGAAGAAAATGATTAAAATCCAGAGAGAAAACCAGAGTATGCCAGTTTGGTGCTGTTCTCTGCACATTTGTGTTCCTGAATGTGTTCTAGGGCAAAGTTGAAACTGCAGATAAACTCCAGATAATAAGCGTATGATTCAGCTGGGTTGTTAATGCTCAGAGGGCTTTGACTGACAGGGTAAATCATACGTGTGAGGATCTGCATTCTGTTTATCAGTGAGATGACGATGATGACGATGATCGCATCAAAATAAATGAACATGATTACAGGATAAGATGACATCAATGTCCAAGTGAAATGTAAATTAAGTGGAGACATGTGAAAAGATTTTATTGCCTAGAGGTTTCAATTTCACAGCTCAAGAGACTTAAAGGAATAGTTCACCCAAAAATTAACATTTGCTGAACATGTCCTCACCCTCAGGCCATCCAAGATGTAGATGAGTTTGTTATTTGGAGAAATGTAGCATTCCATCACTTCCTCACCAATGGATGCTCTGCAGTGAATGGGTGCCGTCAGAATGAGAGTCCAAACAGCTGATAAAAACATCACAATAATCCACAAGTAATCCACACCACTCCAGTCCATCAATTAACATATTGAAATGTGAAAAACTGTTTGTAAGAAACAAATCCATCATTAATTTTTAAACTTTAAACTGTTGCTTCTGGCTAAAATATGAGTCTATAATATTGCTTTCTCTAGTGAAAAAGTTGTCTGAATCAGGAGAGAAATATGCAGATCAATCACCGATTACAAGCAAAAATAGTCAGAACAGTTCTAAACAAATATATTGGTGGATTTTGATGTGAGAGGACAAAAGGGGATGGACTTTTTCACTAACGGGAAGATTATGGACTTTTATTTTGGCCAGAAGCAAAACTTGAAAGCATCTTAATGATGTATTTATTTCTTACAAACGGGCAGCTTTTCACTTCAAAAGATTTTAATTAAAGCTCTGGAGTGGTGTGGATTACTTGTGGATTATTGTGATGTTTTTATCAGCTGTTTGGACTCTCATTCTGACGGCACCCATTCACTGGTGAGCAAGTGATGGAATGCTACATTTCTCCAAATATGTACTGATGAAGAAACAAACTCTTCTCTAAAACACTAGAGGAGACTTGAGATTATTGGACTCTTTCTCAGGAGAAACATCTGTAGATCTCAGTTTGATTGCATTGCTTTCTGGGAGAATCTCACTTGTGATTTTTAAATCTCAATGAGGTAATGTGTTTGTGTAGACTTGCATTGCGTATTTACATACTGAAATCTTCCTGAAATAATGACATGCTGCATGTGCGTGAACCTGTGCATTCTTACAACCTCCATGACCGCTCTTAACCTGAGGTTTGGCAAAGAGATAAACCCAAACCTGAAACTCAACAAGTCTTTAACTATGCAACGACTGCATGCTTATCCTGTATTTGTCCCAGCTGTTATCATATAGGATAAGACTGCTAACATTGGGAACTACACATTGTTCTGCTCATCAGAAAAAAAGAGGAAAGTGTTACATAACTCATGCACAACTCCAGACATGTTTCAGTGATTATGTTGGCTTGACAAAATGAGTATACTATTATTGTGCAAACTTCTATATCAACAGCCTCAGAACCAATTGTAACCACATTTAGCAACTGCCTAGCAACTTATTAGCAACACGGGGGCAGTCGTGGCCCAATGGTTGGAGAGTCAGACTTGTAACGCAAAGGTTGTGGGTGTGAGTGTCGGTACCCACTTGAGTCTCGTGCCCACTGCTCCAGGTGTGTGTGTGTGTGTGTGTTCACTACTCAATGCTGTGTGTGTGCACTTGGATAGGATAAATGCAGAGCATAAATTCCGAGTATAGGACACTACTTGGCCTCACGTCACATAAAACCCTTTAGCAGCTAAACAATTAAATATTCATATTCATGTACACTATAAAATATTTTTCAAAGTTAAAACAAAAATTATTGGAGAACATTTTACAATAAAATACTACTTCTTTCTACTTCAAAAAATATTTAATACAAAGTGTTACTTGATGTTTCTTTGTTAAATAATTGTGAAATTTAAACATTTTTGAGTGAAAATTGTTTCTACACCACATTTTTAAGTGTTATTGAACAGAATGCACACTTCTTTGTATAGAATCTGTGACATGATGTTAATTACCATAGAAAATAATCTCAACTCAGTTTGCAAAAACAAAGAAAAAGCATTTACAGAAATTAATTTGCAATGGAAGTCGTTGGGGAAACTGTTGACCCATGACGTGCCAATATAGTTCTTCTAAAGCTGTACTGAAGGTCAGAATACATTTCTTAGTGCCTCCCAGACATGCCTGCAAATAAGCCTGACATGACCTGAGAATCTGGACGCTCACATTCAAGAGCAAAAGTCATATTGACAGTGAGGCATTTTAAGGGTATTAGGATCTTTGATATTATTGACTCGCGTGTGTGTGTGTGTTTGTGTGTGTGTGTGTTTGTGTGTGTGTGTGTGTGTGTGTGTGTGTGTGTGTGTGTGTG